GTCCATGTGTCTGACGGTCCATGTGTCTGTCGGTCCATGTGTCTGACATCTGTCCGTCTGTCTGTCCATGTGTCTGACGTCTGTCCGTCTGTCGGTCCATGTGTCTGACGTCTGTCCGTCCACGTGTCTGACGTCTGGTCAGTGACGCTCGTGTTTTTACTCATTTACTTTGGCTCTATGCAGAAATGTGTCAAAATGAGCCGAAGACCAGGACTGTAGGACTGACCCGTCAACCAAACCTGGATCCTTCAGTGCTAGATGACTCCTGGGGATCCATAAACCCAGACAAACGGTTCCGTTTGGACTCTAAACGTGTGTCTGACATCCAACAATCAGAATGACTTCCTTTTGACATCTGTTTTAAGAGACCGAAGGCTTGTTGGAGCCTGAAACGGTCTTCAGTGGTCTTGTAGGAGCTACCTCCTCCTTCAGGCTCTCCTGTCTTTAACAAACCTTGAACCGTCACAAACAACAACCGTTTGGTCTTGACTGAACATTTCGCCTCAAACAGGTCTCTCTTGTAAAAGAGTCCTGGAGGCTCAATGAGACTAACCTGTCAAAATTAAAGATGAATGAATGAATCCATCCTGATGTCCTCCAGACCATTTTAGATTAGGATTAAATTTAATCCAATCAAAATTTCTATATTCAATCTTCAGCTAGAATAATTTTCCTGGTGTCCCACAGGGTTGTGTTCTCAACACCTTCCCATTTCTTTAGTAAGACTGCTTGTAAATATATGCTGCTCATGTCCAAATGTGGATACAGAAGCCCAGTGAAACATCTGGCTGCTTCAGCTTTTGAACAACTTTTTTAAGGAGATGAAATGAAAACAACGGACCTCCTCGATCATGTCGGTCAGAGCCTTGTTGCAGTTCTCAAACCTGGTCTTCCAAAGGTTCGACTCCTTCTCCACCTTCTTCATTTTTTCTGTCATCTAAAATCCAGAACAAGTCCAAACAAACAGTAATAATTAAAACGTTACAAAACATCCTGAAGATCTAAAGTGAAACCCTCAAAGTAAAGACCAATATCTCAAATAAACCAGATCTAGACCTGAGCAGAACCTGAACCAGATCTAGACCTGAGCAGAACCTGATCTAAAAGCTTCAGCTGTCTCCACCTACATTATCCATCTCCTTTCTGAAACGGACGTAGATCTCGTTGCTTTTGGCCAGCGTCGCCTGAAACTCGTCAAACTTCTGTCCGTAGAGCGTCAGCTGTGGACCAACAGGAAGACAGATCAGGGACAAAAAAACAATGTTTCTTTAATTTTAGCTGTTTTCATCCCTGTTTAAGCTGTTTTACTGCAGTTTCAGCTGTTTCTATTACAGTTTTTAATAGGTTCTTATTAAATCTTAAGCTGTTTTGATTCCGGTTTTAGCTGTTAATTTTGTGTATGAAGCGTTTTTTTTATTACAGTTGAAGCAATTCACATTTTTAGAAGATTTAATTGCAGTTTGGATTCCTTTTTGCAGTTTTAGCTGTTGTTAGTACAATTTTTAGGCTGTTTATAAAGGTGGTTTTAGCTGTATTTATTGCAGTTTAAGCTGTTACATTTTAAGCATTTGGGCTGTTTTTATTTAGATTTTAGCTGTGGTTACAGTTTAAGCTGCTTTTATTGCAATTTAAGCTGTTATTGTTACAGTTTAAGCAAGTTTTTAGTGGGGTTTTAGCTGCTGCTGTTGTTGTTGTTGTTGTTGTTGTTGTTGTTGTTGTTGCAGTTTAAGCTTTTTTTTAGCAGTTTAAGCTGTTTTTTGCAGTTTTGGCTGTTAGTTTAAGCTGTTTACTTGCCGTTTTAGCTGTTGTTACAGTTTAAGCTGGTTTTATTGCAATTTTGGCTGTTTCAGTTTAAGCTGTTATTGCAGTTTTAGCTGTTGTTACAGTTTAAGCTGGTTTTCTTGCAGTTTTAGCTGTTGTTTCAGTTTAAGCTGGTTTTCGTGCAGTTTTAACTGTTGTTTCAGTTTAA